AGTTTACTTTGACACAAATTAAAAATTCGCTTTCTAAAGGCACTTCTGATATCCTGAACCCTTTGCAGGATATGCTGTTGGTTTTTTCTTCCTAATTCTCCCCTTTCCTGATTTTGTTCATCATGGCAGGGAAGTTCTTTGGGCTCTCAGCCTCATTTTTGTGCCACCCCTGTGTTGAAATGCTCTGTCCATGTGTGCTCTGCCTGGTGGCACAAGGAAAAGCTTTGCCCTGGAGGTTGTGGCCCCAGCTGTGCCCTCTCCTGGAGAGGCAGAGGTGGCAGGAGGAAGTGTCCCTGTCACTCAGCCCTCTGATTAAATCTGGTTCTACCGGATTCAGGGCCTGACTCTGCCTTGCTCCCTGACCTGTTCCTCCCCTAAAAACACAAACCACCTCCCTTCTCAAACTGCAGGTCTGGGAGGGTGAACACTATTGCAGATAAGCCTTTCCAGCCCTGCACCTCCCCACCTTGACACTTGTTTTGCTCTTTGAACAAGAGGAAAATAACAATATTCATCAATATTTGAGCCACTTTAAGGCCTGCTTTGTTTTGCAGAGTGAGAGTGTGCACAGAGCATCCCTGAGGCTCATCCAGCCACTGCCTGAGCACAGGGAGCACTTGGAATAATGGCACTGTGGGGAGTACTTGTTACATGGATTATGGTCACCCCTTCCAAGGGTATAATTCTTTACATCTTATCTGAAAACACCCTCAATCAGCACCACGGAATTCTGTCTGTTCAGCTTGGCAAGATAAAGGTCCAAAGGATTTGGGCTGATCCAGCCAGACCCTTTTCACGTGTGGCACATCAAACCACTCCCTTCTGTATCCTCTCTTCCTTTATCTCAGACCTTGGAATTGCTGCAGGTTTTTCACTTGAATCGCCTTGTTAGTTCACCTTAAACCATTTCCTCTCAAAACAGTAATTCTTAAAGGATTATTATTAATTACTCAGTTTTGGAATGAACTTACTGCTCATTAAACATGCAAAATTGATTGTTATCTGCTGGTTTGAGGCAATGGCTTTTCATCATGCTGGGTTGCTCCTGCAGTTTTCTCAGCAGGTTTGGTTTTCATTGTTAGAACTCAAGACCTATTTGAAGATTACTGAGTTCAGAATTTGAACATATTCTCTCATTTCTTTTCATTTCCCCCCAATCTGTTTATTGGCTGGAACATTATTCTTGTAGACTTTGCAGATTTCCTCCTTGGGGCAGTGGAGATTTCCTTGGTGCTGCAGTCAGATGGATCCAGTAGTTGTCTTTGGTGAAAAGTATTCTGTGAGATGCTTCTAAAATATCTTTATCCCTCTTCATCTAAAGTTCTTTTACCACTTCTGGTATGTCAGATCTGGGAGAAATTCCCTTGAGACTTTTGGATAAATTAAGAAGTGCTCTTCTGTTGTTCTGCCCTTTCCTTTTATTTTATTTTTGCAGGCAGACACTGAGCTGTATTACATTGCTCATCAGATGAACTTTGACTTCATTATTTTTCTGCAGTTATTTCATCCTCTTTGGGAAACCTGTAGTGGGCTCTTTTTAACTGGTTCATATTTGAAACAATTTTGCAGAAATCTTTGGGACCAAGGATTTCTTGAATTCTCAGATCTGTGCTGGATAAGAAGGCTTCTGTGCCCTTTTAATGTTTCTTTCCTTGTCTGGCTTTTTGTTAGTCTTGCAATAAACTTCAGCACTCCCTTGCTAAGGTAAATCCACACAGGTCCTCGTGTCAGCACTCAGGTTAATTTTTATGCAGCTGTAAAGACAAACATTTCACAATTTAAATGGATGTTTTTTCTTTCTCTTAGCTTGTTCAGCCACTCAAACAGATGTTTGATTACTTGTGCTCTCTGGGGTTTTGTTTTTTTGGAAAAACAGTCTCATCTGAATGAAAACACTGTTCAGAGAAAGGGAGGAGGTGACTTCTGAGCTAAGCTCAGACTTGCAGACACTGGGATAAGTAGTTTTTTAGGGTTTTTCCCTTTCCAAAGGGAATTTCACTGTGGAAATTACCAGGAATTTCACTGTGGCTGTGATAAACCAGGCTGATTTCTCAATGAACAGCTGATCTGTGTTACTGCCTTGTACCCTCCCATTCTTGTTTGAACTTCCTTTCTTATTTAATGTTTCTTTAAAAATAGCTTTATTTGTTTTCACAGAACACTGTGGAGCAGTGCTCTGGCGGGGTGTGTGCTCTGCTCTCCCTGTGCCACGTCTTACAATTAACAAGGTCCTTTTTGCCACCTTTTCAGAAGCTTTTTGAATTCAATTCAGTTTGTAGAGGGTAACACACAAGTGAAAAATTCCATATTTCCTTGTTGTGTGAGAGGTGTGGCACTTTTCCTCTGTCTGGTCCTAATCCCAAACTCACAATTACAATTGAAAACCTGAAATTCAGTGAAATTAGAGATATGTTGAGGTTTTTGAATACATATCCTTCAGTGGATGATGGTAGAATTGGAAATTAGCCCTAATTGCAGGCAGTTTGGCATTAGTAATATTACTGGTAATAAAGATTTTTAGACTGGTTTTAAAAAGGATTTGAAAGAAAACCCCAAATCTTCTCGGTATAAAATGACAATAATCTTGTTAAATAGCAAATAACCTATGCTGAGGTTAGTGCAAAGAGGTCAACATTTAATATTTGCTTTATTCTGATGGTGAGGAGGCTCAGACACTGGAATTTTATGGCCTGAATTCAAAGACAGGGTGATGACAAGCAACAACAAGTTATTCTGTGATTAGGATTAGGTTATACCCTGCATGACAAAAATCGTGTCAGATTTCAGAATATTCTTGTAATATGTAAAGTTTAGATTTTACTGCCAGCACACACTGCACAAACACTCTGTTCTAGCAGAGAAAATCAAAGCCAGGAGTGATTCTTGCAGGAGCATCCACCAAATGCTGACCCTTGGAAGAGAATCCAGAGCTGGCTGTTCCTGAGGAGGGGCTGGAGCATCAAACACAGAGCCACAAAATGGGCCTCTCAGGCAAACAGTTACAGAGCAGAATTCCTTGGCTCCAGAGCACTGGAGCCAAAGTTTCTTGGCATTCTGTGTGCATTCCTTTTCCAGTATGTGCTCAGAATAACTTGGGACTTTTTGGAGCAGAAGTGGGACAAACGTTTGCAGACAGAAAAGTCTGGGCTCCGTTTGAGCTGTTGGGCTTTGAGAGTGCATCAGGGTTTGTTCATAGCACTGAGTGTTATTGGGCTCTAATCCCCTCTGCTGGCTCAAATAATCCAAAAAGCCTGCCTTAAACTACAGCACATGCTGTTGGTTGGCTGTTCACTTTGAGTGTTGCACTTGTGTTGGGAGAGAGGGAAGTTTGGGGATAAGTAAATGCATTTGACCTTTCTTGGTCACTTTAGGAGGATGGACCTTAATGAAAGCCACAGGTCAGTGTTATACCCAAAATTTTAAACAGCTTTTTGTGCAGTTCCATGGTTTTAAAGTAGCTTTGGTTTGGATTCCTGTGGATCAAGTAAAGTCGAATGGGGTGGGGGTTTCAGCCTGTGCTGTTACTGCAGTGTAAGTCAGGCTTTGCTTGAAATTTGAAGACTCAGATCAGTTCTGAGTCAAAGGATTATTTCTCCTTCAAAGCATGAATTACCCTGGGCAATACAAAACATGTATTTTCCTTAGATGAGATGCAGTGTTGTGTTTTTCAATCCCTTTTTTCCAAAGGTAGATCAGATCTGACACATGACAACAGAAGAAGCAGATGAATATAAATCTATAATTTACCTGTAGGAAATGGCAGTTCCAGTGTAAACACAGGGATCTAACTGTGGTGGGAATTGCTGAAATCCAGCCTGCTGTGTGCTGGGGACACAGTGATGGGTTAAATATTAACAGGTTATCCTTTTTCTGGATGCTTCCAGAATTCAGTCTCCTGAGCAGACACATGGCAGAGTTTAAGACAATCCATTAACAATAACCTTTGGAAACTCTGACAGGAGGGACACTTGCAGAAATTAGTCCATTAGCTGTAGGAACATTAATTAATTTATAAATCCTAAAGAAACTCAGCTTTATCTTCAAAGGCCCCATGACTTTGCAAAAACAGCATTCTGACAGTTTCACTGAAAAACTTTCTCTTTTCCTGGGCTTTGAAGATCCTGCTCTTACTCTTCTTAACTTGCAAAGTCTTTCTGAATTCTCCTCACTGCGATGATGAAAGGATTGGCCAGGTTTTGAGAATTGCACTGATGAAAATCACTCTTGGAAGGACTCTAATAATAATAATAATAAGCAAAATCATCTAATATAAAGTACATATCAGGATAATCTGATATATATGGCTGCTCTAAGTACAGTTCTCAGAGGATTGAATTTTATAACAAAGGTTTCCAGTGCCTCATTCTAGCCCAGTAAAAACTAAAATTTTCCAGCTCAGCAATACATCCTTCATTGTCAGAGAGATGATGAGATGTGTGCTATCACTGGGGAGCTCACTGCTGCTTTCTAATGGGCCTTTGTTGTGCTAGGACAAAGACTGATTGATAAATTGCCTATAAAAAGTGGCTTTGGGATATTATTTAATTGTCAGTGAAGTCTCTATGTACTCACAGTTATGTCTTTCCTCACAACACCTGCAGTACAATCAATTCTCAGTTCCTGGCTGCACTTGGCTCCCTGGAGCGCTGCACAGGGAGAGATAGAAGCACTGAACTGGAAGATGACTCCAATTAATTAGCTATGCCTTGGAGAAGAAAGAAAGAAAGAATAATAAAGAGCAAAGAACAGCATTGACACTGGAAAACTGCCATCAGAAGGTGTGGCTGCTCAGAGGAGGATGGCAGCTGCAGCATTGTCAGTGGCAAAGATAACTGAAATATTGTTCTATACAGTTTTTGAGCTCCTAGAGGACATGACAAACAAAAAACTTGACAAATGTGGCAATTTCAGTTGTACTGAGTGTGTGTTTACCTACAGATGTTGCAGTGTTTGTGAGATGGCACAGCCCTACCCAGATTAATCTCTGTTCTGTCCTGCAGGCTGGCAGTGATGGAGAGAGCATAGGAAACTGTCCCTTCTCCCAGAGGCTCTTCATGATCCTGTGGCTGAAGGGAGTCGTGTTCAGTGTCACAACAGTGGACCTGAAGAGGTAAGAAATACTTGATTTATTGGGCCAGCAAGAGCTCAGCACCCTTGGTGGAACAAAGCTTTGGCCAGAGCTTTTATGGCCAAATTATATTTCTGAAATTAAAATCTGTCCTAATGAGTGACTGAGGAAACTTGGGTGTAAATGGTGCATTTATTGATGGTTTAACCAAAAATAATGGGTCTGGTAAATTCTCCTGAATTTGTTCAGTGATGCTCTTCTGTAAAACTCACACAAAGTCTTTTATAAGTGAATATTGACTTTTTCTTTAATTTCACATCAAGATCCCCTAAGTGGAGACAGATGGAAATTTTTAATCAACCACCCTCTGGTCAAATCTCCAGTGATGGATAATTGTCACAAACCATGTGCAGCCTCCTCCTTTTCTTTTTAAGATTATTTTAGTTATTGTGCAATAATAATGAAAATACCTGCCCATGAGGTAAATCCAAGTGAAATGGGTAGGAATAAAATGTGAAATATTCTACCTTTGTTCAGTGTCAGCCAGATAAGTCATGATGCTGTCACCTAAATTGCAGCTGCTCTATGAAATGAGTACCTTGGTGGTTAAAAACAGTGAGGAGCGAATGCAGGAGTCTTAATTTCCTCAGACTGGCCATTCTTTTTTATGAAAGTGCTAAATTCAGCAGGGGCCTTGTGTTTGCTTTGGGTGTGAAGTCATGTTTTCCCAGCACTGATGGAAAACTCTGTTGGTCACAGCTCTGCAGAGAGGAGGAGGCTGCCAGTGCCTCCAAACCTGAATTTCAGGAATAAAGCCAAGAGAAACAAAGTGTTCTGCACTGAATCCAACATAGAAAGGAGAAATCACCCTGCTGGACTTAACCTCTTGTGATTTTTTTTGAGGGAGGTGACTTGTTTGGGTTTTAAAAATCACTGAAGTTGCTGCTTCAGTGCTGGCAAGGAGTGTTAAAGACTTCCTTGTGTGGTAAGGGGCAGAAAGCAGCTTTTGTCAGCTCTGGGTGCATTTGGAGCTGCTCAAAGAGCTTTTTCTGGCCAGTGTAGGATTTCCCTGCAAATATTGGTGCTGCCAGCCCCATAAACCAAATGTGTCACATTCTCCACCGAGCCCTGCCTGTGGTTTGTGCAGACTCAGGAGCAGAACTTTTGCTTGTGGGCTGTTGGTAGTTTGGGATTTCCTTTTCCTTTAATGATGGGGTTGTTTAAACCCATTGCAGTTACTGGGGATGGGCAGGAGGAGGTGGACAGAGATATTTTAGGCTTGGAAGGCTTTTTACTGCTGAACCAGTTTAGATATCATTAAAATGCCAAATATTCCTGATGAATTGGCTTTATTTTGTGTCCCCTTGGCAACTTGGAGTTAATTGGATGGGGGAATGGGATGTAAGACTAACTTTTAGCATATAAATTGGTTGCAGATGTTTAAAGTTGACCTTCCTTACACAAGGAAAGCTTTCTTTCAGTTTTTTTCGGGTTTTTTTTTTCTGTTGAGGAGGGGAAAACACAAAATAAGTGCAAAATTAAAGATCTGCAGGGGAAGAGGTCAAATAAACCACCTTTGTGTTGTGCACTGAAGGGGTTCTCTGGGAAAGAAAACAAAGGACCACTGAAGCTAATTCAGGTTGGAATAGATATTGATACAAACTTAATTCCTTTTAGACTTTATTTAGATGTCCATAAATACAACTTTAACACTGTGGGTTGTTCAATACCCAGTGGCAGAGTGGCGCAGCTCATCCAGCCAAGTGCTCAATAGGAAAAGTTTGATATCAGATGGCTCTGTTTTCCCTTGTTATCACTACCAGAATGATAAGAGATGTTAGGTGGTGCCTTACTATTGCCACAAGAGACTGCTTTTATGAGCACATTATTCAATCCAAACGATCTCCTCTGCTCTTTGTTCCTGTTAGACACAAACTCAAAGAGCAGAGCAGGAATTGTTTCAAACAACTGAATTTATTTTGTTGGCCAAAACCAGAAAAAAAGGCTTTGCCTGCCTTTGCCTCATAACATCAGTGCTGCACAACAGCAAGGCCAGTGCTGTCTGTTTGTGAGATGAAAAGGTCATGGTTGGGTACAAATTTCACAAGTGAGGGACTTGGGACACAGGAAAATCTGAGCCTGCCGTGTGTTTTCCCCTCCAGAGCTGCCCTGTGCTAACAAAGGCACATTCTGAAGTTCTCAGCCCTGCTCTCAGCACACAGAACATGCACATAGGCAGAGGAGGAGGAGGGCAGTCCCACCCTCTGCAAGGAATCAGCCATTTCTTCCCTCTCTTTGGGCACACAGAGGCTTCATTCTTCCCTTCTGGGCAGCAGCATTTCAGTGCTCACAGCTCTGGCTTGTTCTGGAGGCCAGAGCAGAGCTGCAGTGCACAAACCATTTGTTGGGCTTGGAACAACACTCAGGGCCAGCTTGCCTTCAGCTGAGTGCTCAAATCCTGTTTGAAGCATCCTCAGTTGGAGTTTTTGCAGATCCTTTGACAGGCAAAGCTTAAATAATAATATGAAATATTAAAATTAACTATTAGAGACCACCCAGAGTTGAATCCAGCTTCAACAGTTTGAAATTCAGTTGAGGAACTAGGGTTTTAGCACTGGCTTTTTCCCATGTTACTCTTCAGATCCTCATTGCAGTTTTTGTGTCATTTATAAATGTATTCCATTTGGGGGCTGGATTTTGTCTGCTCTACAAGAAATAATTTGCATTCTAATTACTATTCTGGTTTGTGGCAAAGCCAAGATGTGTTTACACCTTAACTCTGGGGGTAGTGATGGCCACATAATTAATGTGGCCCTGCCTCCAAAACCCCTGGTAAACTTTGGGGTAGGCACAAACCATCTTGGAATTATTTGGAGTGGTTACAGAAGGATTTTTTGTTTGTTTGTTTGGGTTTGGTTTGTTTTTTAAGCTCTCCAGCTTTATCTCTGAAGTAAAACTTCTCTGTTACTTTAATTGCCTTCTTGTTTGCCTGTTAAGGGAATTTGTACTCTGAGCCTTTTAAGGCTGTTCCTGTGTGTTTGTGCTCCAAGGGCTGTGCTGAAGCAGGGCTTGTTTAAAATCCCCTGGCAGGAGCAGCAAACTGGAAGTCAAACCCTGAATTATGTTTGGACCAGGGCTGTGGGATCTTAATCTCTGCTTTCTTTCTCTTGAAGGATGCAGGTGGTGTGACTGGATGAGTAAAGTGCTCTGAGATGCACTCTGGTTCTTTGGAAAACATTTGTTGGTTAGTTCTTTGGAATGATCTGGTTTAGAGCTAAAGTTTGCCTTTGATAGTATCCCTGCAGATCCGGTGGTCTTGCCCCTGTTTGTTTGTAAAATAACATTCCTTCTGAGGAATTTTATCTGGCCAACATGGGGAACTGGAAGGGAGCCACGACAACTTCCTGTAATTGTTGGGAGTTACAAAGCTGTATTTAAATGAAGTGTTAAGCTACTTAAAGCATTACCCGATGAGAGATTTTAAATCCTAAAAGTGAGAGAGGGGTGGCAACTCTTAGTGAGAAATAACTTCTCAGAAGCTTAAAAATTGAAAAGAGTTGAATTCTTGTATTTATAAGGTTTCCATCCACTGGTTTAAAGCAGGGTGTGGAGTATTCTAAAGTATGAAAATCACTTTTCTCCTTCACACTTTGGCTCTATGAAAGGGCAGCAGCGGGCAGGACATGAAATTCTGGCAGGGGTTGTTAATTTTGTAAGAAATGGAAAACAAGATAGACTTGTAAGCTGGGCTCAGTTTAGAGTCCAGCTGCTCTCCCTGAACACGCTGCTTTCTCATGCTGCCCTGCAGGACATGTTGCCAGTTTAGTTTCCCTGTCTGGTGTTGTCAGGAGGATTCCTTGAACTGCAGTTCCAGTTTCCAGTAAATCCAGTTCCTGCATGCCTGGAGCTGGCTTAGGAACGTGGCCACGCTGGACAAGGCTCAGCCCCACTTCAGGCTTCTGGTCCAGCCTGGATTTGTCCAAGCAGGAACCAAGGGGCAGCTTTACCTTGGCAGAGTTTTCAGCTGGGCCAGCATTTGTTGTTGCTGGGCCAGCAGGAGGTGGTGGCCAGGCTGCTCTGCTCTGCCTGAGAGAGTTATTAGTTAGAAATAGAATTAGAAATAGCTGAGTATTTCAGCTTTTTGCTGTTTTTCTCATGTCCAATCCTAATGTGGGGATTCCTCTCCCAGGTGTGCTGCTCTTGTTTGTAATAACTCTTTTTTCACTGCAAACTGAAGAATAATTTTAAACACGATGTTCAAACATCTGCCAGCCTGCCTGGAACCAAACTCCCTGGGCACGTAATAAATGGTTTATACACTGGGCTGTATCAGAGCTGCCTCTTTCCAGAGCAGCTCTGTGTGAGGGGGGAGGATTAACACAGATTATACTATATATAAACTGTTCTGTAGGGAAAGAGGGAGAGTGTTTGTGTGGTGTGTGTATAAATATCCCTCTTCCAGTCAGCATTGTATTGATTTGAGAGTAAACACAGCCAGAGGTAGGAGGAAATTGTTTTAAACTGTTTTAAATTAATTGTAAGCAGGTGTATTCAAAAGGTTTAGTTGTAAACTCACTTTTTAGCAAGAAAACCGGTGGTGTCTACTTAAAACTGAGGATGTGAAAACCTCAGCAGTGCTTTTGTGGTTGTAGCAATGAAATTTTGTCCCCTGCTTACTTTTTCTGGGTTTGCATCTCACCCCAGGAAACCAGCAGACCTTCAGAATCTGGCTCCAGGCACTCACCCACCCTTCATCACATACAATGGGGAAGTGAGAACAGATGTGAACAAGATTGAAGAGTTCCTGGAAGATGTTCTGGCCCCACCCAAGTAAGTGTTAAACTGATAATTTGTCACCTCAGATAGGCACAGTTCTCACAGGGGATTTCTGCCCTAATTAAGATGTTCTTCAGCATCAATAAACTGAAGACATAGAAGTTATTCTTGCTTGTCATACCTCCCTCTCCTCAGCTCCCTCATCATTATATCAAAAGCTGTTTTCTTTCAAAGATTATTTTTAAATTATCCTTTGTATACCCTGGTCATCCCATCTGCACTTTCAAGCTCTTCCTTTTGGTGACAGGCACATTTGTGTCTAAATAATGTGAATGAAGATGAGTCTGCTGTACAAAACTTAGTCCTAAACTACAGTGAGAATCTGTTTTAATGTGTTCAAACTTTCTCCAGACTCATGGCTTTCTACTCCTCAGCTGGCAGGCAGATCTAGACACTGCCTTTAACAGACTGAACTGTTTTGCCTTTTTAGCATGGCAAAACTTCAGGCTTTTAAGATGTGGAGTCCATAATTGTCTGATGGAAATGGAAAACCCTGTATTTTGCTTACAGGTGCACGGTGTGCCTCCTTGGCAGCACTGGATTAAGGGAGCTCTGGTGCCCCTGGGCTGCCTCAGACACTCTGCCTGTACCAAATGTCTGATTCAGAGAGCAGGAATGTGCTTTGGAGTCCCTCTGGAAAGTGCTGGGTTTAAAAACCTTAGTGGGTGATGCTTCACTTCAGAAACAAATCTGGAAAAGGATAATTAGTAACAAAGTGCCATTTTAGGCTTGTTAATAGATAATGAGCACCATTCTGCTAAATGTGCTGTAGATCTGCTCCTTGCTGCTTTTCAGGTACCTGAAACTCTCACCAAAGCATCCAGAATCCAACACTGCTGGAATGGATATATTTGCCAAATTTTCTGCATATATCAAGAACTCTAGACCAGAAGCTAATGAAGGTGGGTCTCTGGGGGGACAGAGCTCTCCTGCTTCCACTGCCTCGTGTTTTTCAGAGCAGCTTTGTGGGAAGTGTCTCCCTGACAGATTTAGCTGCATGTTGGTGGACACTTGAGAATCTCATGAATGAAAATCTTATTTAAGTTTAATGTCAAAGATTTCAACATTTCAAAGAGATCTTCAGTTCAATCAGAATTTCAGTGGGGTGTGCATGGCTTGTAAATATCCCTGGCACTGGCTCTTTGTGCACTCAAAACTCTTGAATGAAGGATAAATATTTCAACATCCAGAAGCAAATTTCAGGCAGAGTTTGTGTCATGCCCCAGTGGTTGAATTTCTGTGCATCTGTGAATTTTCTCCTGCACAGAAATTATTTCACCTCTCTAGGACTGAGGGCTTCCATTCACAGTTCTGAGCTAAGCTTAGTTTGTGTCTTTTTCATTAAAGGATAAAAACCTTTCTGTGTGGAGGGAAAACAGGAGATTTCACATGAGGGATCAATAAGTAGTAAAGAACTCACAGCTGGATCTTTAAGTAGTTCAGTACAAATCAATTTTGTCCTCAGAGTACTTAGAGGGAAAACCAAACTCAGGGAATCAGGATTTCCTTCTGCTGCATTTCAAAGGGAGAGATGCAAAGTATTTGTAAATAAACGTAAACTTTGCACAATAAATAATTGGAAATAAATGGGGATTTGATGGGATGTGCTGCCCTCTGCTGCTGCATTCCATAAACCTGCTGTTGCATTCCATATCCTGCACCAGCCTGGGTGCTCTGGGTTTGCTCAGGGCTGTTTGCTGAGCATGTGACATTAAACAGATTATGTTTAAATATATATAAACCCCATCATAGCTTAATTCTAATCAGTTTAAGCCAGTTAGGCACAGTCTTAAGAAACTGACATAAGCCACTTTTTAAACCAAAAATAAACCCTTGTGGACAGTCTTACAGTATTTTAAATTAGTGCAAACTGCTGTATTAGCCAGCTTTTAAATAACCTGCATATGTGGGATATTTGAAGAGATTCTGGTCCAGCTGCAGTGTTCTGGTGAGCACAGAGGCAGCTCCAGCAGTGCTCTGACCACAAAAACTGACCAAGACTTACAAATCCTTCAGTGTTTCTGGGTAGCACAGGGATGTGGGGTTTGTATTTCAGCTCTGCTACCAGTCTCAGTTTAACATTTGTTTTGGAATCATCCCCTCCTGCACAGCCTTAGAACGTGGCCTCTTGAAAACCCTGCAGAAGCTGGATGAGTACCTGAACTCCCCTCTCCCTGATGAGATCGATGAGAACAGCCTGGAGGATGTCACAGTCTCCACCCGCAAGTTCCTGGATGGCAACGAGATGACCTTGGCCGACTGCAACCTGCTGCCCAAACTGCACATTGTCAAGGTAAAACCTGGGGGGGTTCAGGGGAAAATGCAGCAGGAAATAGCTCTGGTTTGTGACATTCCTGAGCCCAGCTGATTTCAGCTGAGCTGCACTGTTAACACCTGAAACAGTGCAAGGTTTGAGTCATTCCCAAGGGCTCTGAGCAGTGGAGCTCAGTGCAGGTGTGAAGCAGCAGAGGATTTGGATGGCAGGAGCCAAATCTATTTCCCTGCCCTGACCCTGTGGTCTCAGGGAGCTGCAGAGCTCACAAGAAGGAGGAAGGTGAAGATCAGGTAATGGCTGAAGTGTCTGCTCACTTCTGCGAAGGAAACTGCTCCAGAACAAAGTAAATACACGGTGGGAAATAAAGGGATTGTAAAAAAAAACCAAAACCAAGTTGGAATCTTGGAAGAGGCACCCTGAGGCAACCACAGGAGCGCAGATGTGCCCACATCAGTGTGGTTTGGTTGCTCTCCCTGCCTGCAGTGACCTGTGTCAGTTCTGTACTGCAGATGGAGCCACAGGCTCAGTTTCTGCCTCCCTGGGTGAGGAGAAAAACCCCAAAGGGAGCGAGGCAGGAACAGCCCTGAGGAACAGCCAGGGCCAGGAGCATCCCCCAGGAACAGCCTCTGGAAACTTCAGGAGTCATTCCAAATATCCAAGTTGGAAGAATAACTTCACAAGAGAGTGACCAGGGCTGGAAAAAATATTTTAAGTTAAGAACATAAATTCATAACGTAATTCTTTCATTCCAGGTGGTGGCCAAAAAATACCGCAACTTTGAGATTCCCAAGGAGATGACAGGGATCTGGAGATACCTGACAAATGCTTACAGCAGGGATGAGTTCACCAACACCTGTCCTGGAGACAAGGAGATTGAAATAGCTTACAGTGATGTAGCCAAGAGACTCACCAAGTAATCAGCACTTGCGAAAGGATGACGTCCTGCATATCCCGTAACAACGCTTCTAACAGACTGCTCTTTTCATATCAAATAGCAATTGTTTTTTGCATGAACTCGCAGTTACTCCAAGTCACGGTGGATAGACCAGGTACAGTAATTACCTAAAGTTTGCAGACTTTAATTACAGGCTTGTTTTTCCTGACCTCCTCTCCCAGCCTTTGAATATGATCGATGCAGTCGTGTTCCCGTTGCACTGGGGTGACTCTGGATTCTTCAGTGTGAAGGCTTGTCTTGCCCCTGCTGCTTTTCTCTGTAAACATCTGGTCCATGATTTGTCCAGGAATTGGTTTAGGATCCTGTCTCACTGTATGGTACAAGGAATATTTATGTATTTTGGAATTTATTGCTTTTCCAGAAGATCTGTACACAGCTGTCACACCTGTGACACACTGAACTGTACCTGCTTGTCTATCCTATTTACATAGAGAAGGGAACTTAGTATCCAAAAGAGCCATTTGCAAAATATTTGGCAATGTTTTGTTGGTTTCTTTTGTTGTATTTTTTTTTTTTTAAATCTCTTGGATTTGAAGTCACAGTAATGGTTGAGAATGGACTCAACGTGAACCTTGGATTTGGATGACCTCAGCTTCAGGGAAGTTTGAATCCAGGCTTGAGAGCTGGGGCAGGAAGCTCAAAGCTCAGAGTTGATGTTTATTGTGTCTTCAGGAGCTTGAGGAGATTTAAACACCTGCATTGTCTGAATTTTGAGTTGCAGCAAACAAATAATTGTCAGGATTTACCATCAGGAAACAGCAGAGCTGGAAGCTGCTCTCTGTTCACTTTAAGAATTGCAAGTGGCTTTCTTTTTGGTAGTTAAGAACCTTTTTTGTTTTGTATAGGTCTTTTTGGTGATTTTTACTTCAAAATCTGTTCTGTCATAGCCCAAATCCATGGAAACTGTAGTGTCCTAACTCTGGGTGGGGAGTAGCAGTGCAATGATTAGTGATGCAAAATGGACTGAGAGCCATGAAATGGGAATTTTTTAATGCCCTTTCTTCCCTGAAGAAAGCTAAAGTGACCTTTAAAGAGAACATTTGCCTTAAATGATAGCAGAGTTTGGTTTTTTTTTCCTTAAAGGAAATCTGGGAATTTTGTAAGGAAACGGTGGTGGAATTGAATTTATCCCAATTGTTTCTGTGCACCTGGACTGCAGTTTTGCATACTCATAATCATTGCACTACTAAAATCTTTTTACAGCAACACTGAGGAATAGCACTACAATTTTTTTAAAAGCAATTTTCAAATGTTTCTAAACCAGGGAATAGTTTTCTTGTTTAAAATTAATGGTTTTGATGCATGAAATAAACTGCTAGGTTATTTTTAAAAGACCATCATAAACAACTCCAAAGAATTCTAGACTTATATGCCTATTTTTTTGTAAAGATACTTTTATATTTAACTGATTTTAGAAGCTGGAAAGTGCTATTCCTGCTAGGTTGTTCTTGGAATATTTAACATTCTGCAATAACGTGGAAATGCTCACATAAACACTTTTATACACTAATTTTATTTTATTTTATTTTTTGGTAAGCACTGGCTTTCTAAAAGCAGCCTGACTTTTCTGAGCATCCTGCTTTTGCTACTTTATGTACCCCTGGAGTTAGCTCAACATAGAAGAGGTAGAGAACCAGATCCATATTTGTACACCTGGCTTGTGGTGCCTTGCCTTGCCTTCCTCGAGCTAGAATTCAATATAAAGGCACTTAGCAATCCTGTCACATCTCTTTCAAAGGCAACTCTCTTAGATACATTTAATCCCCGTTCTGAATTTTTACAGGAATGTTTAGGCACAGAGGGAAAATCCTGGGGAGCAAACCCAAACTGTAGCCCTTTAATAATTACTGTACTCTGATGTCACATTCCCCTCCTGAGTAAAGTTCCTCAGCCATAAGAACCCTCTGTAGGGCTTCAGTCTCTGCTACAACGTGACATCCAGAAAAAGGAATGACTTTTTTATTTAGAGAACAGCATTTTTAATGACACATAGGGTGAAAAAACCCCAAACCCAACCCTCCTTGGTTTGGTGCTCTTTGCAGTCATAGAGTTGACAAAGCTGTAGGAAGCAAGTGTTTGTGGGCATATCTTGAAGTTTTTAGCTCTACTTTTAAAAACAGATGAGGATGGCCCTTGGAAGTTGTGTTGATGGGGTTGTAGGAGTCAGGCTGTGCTCCCTTTCCCAGGGAATTATCCCTGGAGTGCAGGGCACCCACAGCCAGGAGCTGCTGGGGTGCTGCAGCTTCTTCTGGAGATAATCCATCCCCTCTGCTGTTCAGGCAGCCTTGAAACCATTCTGCTTCTCCCTCAGCCTTCTAATTGTGTCTGAGAGCTTGTAAACAGAGTTCAAGCTCTGGCTGTGACCACTGGGTTCCTTATCTGGGCACAGCGGAGCCTTTCCCTCGGAGGTGGAATTCCAATGAGCACCAGCTTGGCACTGCAAACTGTCCTGGGTGTCTCTTTGGTTTCCTGCTGCAGTTTTGTTGTGGCAGGAGCTGTCCCAGCCCCTCCTGGCTCGGGGAGGGAGCAGGAATCTGGTGGAGAGGAGCAGCTCCCAGCTCCGTAGGTGATCCCTGCAGAGCAGCGGGGAACGGCAGCGTCTGGTGTGGGCAGAGCACTTTCATCTGGCCCCAATCACCAGCTCCACACTAATTAAAAAAGCCCTTTCATAACTATGTAAATTCTTGACTTCTGTCAACTTGTTTACAATCTGATCTTTAAATGCATTTTTAATTTCATCAAACAGCAATTAATCTACCCCCTGTTTAAATTTAAAATGCTGCTTCTAGCCCCTTCTCCAATTTAAAAACAGCAGTTGCCCTTTCAAGTAGGCATTCCAGTTTGCAAGTTGGCTGCATGTATTAGCATGCTGAATAACTTACTTTATTCTCAAGCTGAAATATGCTTAAATTCACATGAAAACAGGTGACTTGTGTATTTCCTGAACACAAAGGGAAAATTCACCACCTGCACCCTGTTTTTGTGTGGGAGAACAGATTATCTTAGGTGCATTATTATTTTATTTTTCACTTTAACAAAGTTTTCCTTCTGCTGCCTGTTGAACAAGAGGCACGTGGGACTCGTGGAGCAATTCCATCCCCTCCACAGCTTCCCTGGGTGTCCCACACGGGCAGTCCCAGCTTTTAGCTTCTCATTTTCCCATAAAATCCCTGTTTTCTCCACACTGGGCATGTCCAAACTGATCAAGAGCTGCGTGATAAGGAGAGAGATGTAATCAAATTTTTATGCTAAAGCAGCAAATTAGCATTTGGTATCAAAGGAGCACAGAGAGGAATAAATGGGAGCTGCTGGAGCCAAAGCCAGCGATGCCTATCTGGGTGCAGAACAAAAAGTGGTGAAGTGCAGGCAGCTCTGAACAGCTGAACACATCCAGGGAATGTTTTCAGGAGAAAGCTGGGACCAAGTGACAAATGCTCCATCTGCCTCACAACCTGTGCCACCAACTCTTGCCTTTTGTTCCTGGAGGGGGTGGGAGCAGGATGAGGGGATGGAACCTCCCAAGACATCAAGGATTGGAGCGTGGTTTGGAGAAATACTTGAAGAGTTGATTCAATTTGTTGTAGTTTGCTTATGTCTTTCACTTTCTGGAACATCTTTTACAGATATACCAGTATACTGCTGGCAGCTATTGTTAAATAAAATTATATTTTCACTACCAAGCAGATCTTTCTCTTATTTCTGAAGATTTCATTCCAGGACTGCAGGTAATGAGCTGAACTACACAACTTATTAATAATTATATTCTCTATTTTTTTGGCCTTCAGGTTTAAGGGTTTTTCAGTGGTGATGTCATTTAAGGCATCATCATTAAAAGTGTTATTTCTGACATTATAACCAGCTGTGCCTCTGAAAATTTAAACTTCCTTAAAATGAAGAACAAGTTGAGAAATAATGGCTTTCCTCGGAAATTTCTTTAGGAGAAGTGAGATTTTTTTTCAGATTTTCAGTGGAAGGTGGAAAGAACAGATCTGGCTTGCTTGTTTTTCTGTGGAATACAGGTTTCCAGAGATGTGTCAGATTTGATTAAAAAGACATCAAAATAATATCTCAAGTTTGGTTCAACCTTATCCCCTGAGTTGCCATTTCAGGAGTTGAGATTGAATCGATTCCCATTACAGAATTCCTGGATTTCAGAGCTCCAGAAGGGTTTCTTTGCTGTCTTTTGATTTCAAATAAAATGCAGCAGCTCTGGCAGCACCAAAGTGTTTTAATCTCTCAGTGTTTCTCCAGGGTTGCCCAAAGCTGAGACTGAGCAAGTTGGGGTCGTGATGGCAACATTTAAAGCTAATCAGAGTCATGGAGGTGAATGAGTCATGAGGTAATTAATAAAAAAGCCTTAATTTCAGAGCACAGCCAGAGCCTGGCCTATACCTGGGAGAGGGGAGCAGCTCCTGCACTGGGATAAATTTGGGATGAGCTCCCCAAGCTGATGCTGGATGTTTTCCAGAGCTGGGAAAAGAGAACTCATGATTCTTTGACTCAAGAGAAGAACTGCTGTGTTCTTACCACTGGACAGGGAGATGAAAACAGTTACTAAACAAAGATCAAACATGTGAACTTTATAAATAAACAAACAAAATTGATGCTAAGGGACGTCTCAGCTCCTTTGCCTGCGGCAAAGGGCTTGGCAGGACCTAGGGAATGACTTTGTCAGTTTGCACACGGAATTCTTATTTTCAAGAGGCTGATTAAAGTGATACTGCTCCTCTTAATGAGTCTGAAGGCAGCCCTGGTGAAAACATCCCTGTCCATGCATGGGGGGAATGTGGGGGAGAGGAGAAATCATTTATGGGGCTGAGCTCTGGCTGCAGAGCACAGCAATGTTCTAAATCTAAATGATCCTCAGTGATTAAAAATGCTGATTGGGGCAGTCAGGCTCTCTCTGGAGAGGTTTGAGAGGCTGCCAGGGCAGCAGGGCCTGCTTTGATCTGTGCACTGCCAGCCCCTGGGAGATGGGACCTGGACCACGGGGTGGGACTGTTCAGTGTCTCACACAAACCTGGTGCTCAGGGAGGGAGCAGAACCAGCAGCAGACAGATTTTATTTGGAGTTTTCTTCCTCCTGCCCAGCCTGCAGAGGGACATGAAGTGGTGTGGGTCAGAGCCCCATCCTGGCTCCCCACTCCAGCACCTTCCATCCTCCACAGCCTCTCCTGCTTTCCTCCCTTGCTTCCATGGCTTTGCTGCTGCCTCTGTCCAGATGTTTCTGAGGCAGAGCAGCCCCAGCCTCCTGCAGGGAGCTCAGGAGCTCCAGACAGCTTCTCCCAGCTGCTCTGGGCACATCCAGCTGTGTGCACAGGGGAACTACAGCTCCTGGACGCTCCTGCCATTGTGGGATGCCAGGAGAAAGATGAAGACCCCTCAGTTGTCTTCCTGAACCATTTTCTGCCTGAGCTTTGAGCTGCTTTAGAGGCTTTGCTGCCTTTAAACTCTGAGCAGAAGAGCTGGAGCCTGTGAACAGCCACGTGGAGCTCCTGCACAGCTGTTGGAGGTTGTTTTTGGGGTGAAGTTCTTGTTGGGAAGAGCCTAATGAGGAATGGGGTGATCTGGATCCCTGGAGCTGACTTTAGAGGCCACAAGTTCATTTCTTGTCTGTGTCAGGCAGGCTGTTCCCATTTGTTGTGAAAACAGGGTAATGAAAATGTAGGGTGAGCTATTCCCATTTCCTTGACTGGGTGTTTTTTCCATTTCAATTAATTTATTTTCAAAAATTCAAAGTAATCATTTCCTTTGGAAGGTTTTGATGGTATTTCCCAGCTGTAGCTACAATCTTCTCCCTCTGAGAGCTGAGTGGGGACCCTGTGGAGGGCAGAGCTCGGCTGCTGAACCTGCCCTGGCCCAAACTGTGGCTCCAGACGAGTCCCAGCACTGTCAGGAGGCTCCTGGGGTGAAGAGGGGAGCTGAGGTCGCTGCCCTGGAGGCTGCTTGAGGACAAGGACACGTGCTCTGAGGAACCTGGCTTTTATTAGCAGTGCTGGTCACAGTGACTCCAGTTTATCATCTCTGGCTGCTGGCAGCGAGGTTCCAGCAGAGCTGTGTGAGCACCCAGCCCCTCTCTGTGCCTTGGAGCCCACTTTTTCCATCCAGCCTGGGAGGGTTGGTCTGGATCCGTGGGCTCCTGCCCTGGATGTGTTTGGAGCACAGCTGGAGGATGCAGCTCTGCTGTTCTTTCTGTCACTCAGGGCACCTGGGCAGCTTCAGCTGCTGTTTGGCATCACCTTGGCACAGGAGCCAGGCAAGGACAGAGGGCAGGAAAGTGCTGGGAGCTTTAACAGCTCCTGCTTTTGGGGACTGAAAGTGTGGGCAGGCATGTGCTGCTTCAGCTACTTCTGAGTTTTAATTTCCTCAGGCAATAGCTCTTACAGGGACTGGGAGTTCCTGCAGTCTGTGTTTGGGTGGTTTTTAAGGCAGTGGCTGGCTCTTCATCTTGCTGCACCCACTCACCCAGGAATCAGATCCACAACAGCACAGGAGCATTTACTGCAGGCTCTGTGCATGGGCTGGGTGGGTTTGAAGTGTTCAGGGTGAGATTTCTTCATGGGGCTTTAATTTCCCAGCTTTGTGAGGCCTTGGAGCCAGTCAGCACTCAAGGAGGAGTGTGAAATAACGCTGCTCTGACCTTTGGGTGAATTCCTCTCTGTGAGGTTCCTTGAGGAGGGGAATTTTGCACACTTGCAGGAGCTCACAGGATGGAGATTGTCCCCGGATCCCTCCAGGCACCAGAGTGTGACAGCCCAGCCCAGGCACTCTGAGATCCTTTTGTCCCAGCGAGCAGTGAAAGATGCACATGAGCAAAGTTTCTCACAGCGTGACTCGCCCGAGGGGGCATCAGTGGCCAAAATCCCTTCTTGGGCTCCTTCTGGCCTTCCCCTCCAGCCCAGACTTCCCTTATGAGCAAAACTTGCTCATCTTCCCCATGAAACCTCTGGGCTGGTGCTGGCTGCTGCCCTGCCCGAGCCATTGGCGATTCATTGTGTGCAGGATGGGGTCAGGACAAACCCTGGGGGTGATGAGAAACCCGCTGGGGGCTCCTGAGGGCAGCTCCAGAGCTGAGCTGCAGGTGCCTGACTCTGGCTCCGGATGGTTTTAAGGCTGTGCTTGAGGAGGGAGAGGCTGCTGGAAGCTCTGGATGGCTGGAAGAGAAGGATCCCGAGTATCCTAACGCGACTCGGTGTCTTGGGAGCCTTTGAAGTGCTCTCCTGACATCCCTCCCGGAGCAGCACCTTTCATCCCTCGCCAGCGCTTCCCCAGCTGGAGCCATGAAAGGGAAACTACAGAAGCCATAAATCCTGGCTGGTAACATCTCCAGTGGGGAGATTTCACAACGAGCCCGAGCTGCTGCAGGAGATAAGAGAGGGCCTTGAATCCCAGGCAAGTCAGGGCTGGTTCCTGGGAAAAGCTGAGCTCCACGGCATCGTTGGGGGTCCCTCCGGCTTCCCTGGGCACAGGAGCTGCCTCTGGGTGCCCTGGGCTGAGTCCCCAGCCTGGGGCAGAGCTCCCCAGCCCCAACCCCGGGGCAAAGCTGTGTTTTGGGTGGAACAGCCCCTCTGCATGGTCCTGCCATGGTTTCCCTGCTCCCAAGGGTTGATGTCGTGCTTGCAGGAGCTGGGCTGAGAAACCTCTGCTTCAGCAGAACCCCCTGTGCAGCAAGGCCAGGAGGGAATCCGGCAGTCCTGATCCCCCCAGGATCCCCCCAGGACCCTCCAGGATCCNCCCAGGATCCCCCAGGACCCCCCAGGATCCCCCCAGGACCCCCCAGGATCCCCCCAGGATCCCTGCTCTCTGCTGGCTGGCTGGCACAGGGGATGAAAGGCAAAGGATCTTTGTATCTCCCAGCTTTATCAGGAGCATTGGTTCAAAAGAGGGGAAAAAGCAGCCTGAGCTGCCAGACTCAAATGGGAGCAATTCCTGGGAATGTTTCCTGGAGTGAATGGGAACGCTGTTAGTGGGCAAGCTGCAATCAGTGCTAAAGTCCTGATTTTATTTACAGCCTCGCTGTGCTGCTGCTCTGTGCCCAGCCCTGGCTGAGTTTCTGTGTGAAGTTCACGTGGCAGCGAACACTTGGCTCTGCAGGATGTGCCTGCACATCAAACTGTGCCAGGGGCTTCCTCTGCTTCCCATGGCAGCCTTTTCCTCGTGTCCCCACAGCACCAGACAGCAAATCTTGTAAACTGAGGCCAGGAAGGAGGGGTCAGTGGGGTCACAAGCCCAGTGATGCACAGGAGAGGAGCAGAGGCACAACAGCCCCACAAGGCCTTGAGGCTCTGTTTCCCCATTGGCATCGCTTGTTCCCACGTTAGGAGAGGGAAAACCTGGCCCTCGAATGCTGGATGTGCTGTGGACATCCCCTGCAGTTCTCTGGGGGTGGTTACGGTGTTGGAGGGACAGCTTGGGCTGGGCAGCTCTGAGGGAAGCTGGAAATGGGGCTGGGAGAGGCTGTGGGGGACACGGAGCAGCTCCCATCACATCTGGCCAAAGTCCTCCAAAACCAGACCCACAAACCTCTCCTGTGACCTCGGCTTTGCTCTGCTCGCTCTCCCCAGGCATCAAAACGAGTCTCTGGCTGATCCTCCTTTGATTCCCTTGCTCTGAAGCCCCCCAGCAGCAGCAGCAGCTCCACGAGGACCTCGCCAGGTTTCCCTTCCCAAGGCGGGG